GCGCCACCCGCTCGCCAGGGGCCCGGGCCTGCGGGCGGGGATCAAACAGAGCAGGGAGGCAGCTGGTTGAAATTTAACCACAATATTCTCGCTCCCCATTGTTTCCAGGGAGGCCCGATATTTCCACAACAGGATTATGGCATCTGATTAACTCGCTGAGACAACAATGAGGGGCTGGGATGGGCTTCCCCTTCTAGCTGCCAAAAGGGGAAAGTAAATACAACACCCTGATTTCAGGAGCGACGGCTTGCAGGGCCCCCCCGGTTCTCCCCCAGCTGTGTGCCGGGGAGGGGTCCGTCACGGCTCTGCTTGCACCAGCTCCGGCCCCCTAGGAACTTCCCAGGTGAGGCAGTGCCTTGGGATGCCCCCGTGTGCACAACTCGCTCAGGGATGTCCCCTCTCCAGCGATTTGGTGGGCACAGGGCATGGGTCACTCCTAGGGATACATGGAGAGGCCAAACTGGAACAGCCTGGCCAGAAGTCCAGCTCCGGCTGCAGGGCTGTGCTGGCCTCAGCGGTACCAAGCAACTTGGGCAAGAGATGCAGTCTGGGGAGCTGGCAGCACCCACAGGCTTAGGATGCTGCTGTCCAGTGGCCCTGGTGGACCGTTTCCTTTGCAGGAGCTGCAGGCAAAGTGCAGCTGGCCAGAGGTGTCTCCAGCAGGTTTGCGTACTCAGTAGCCACACGCCATCAGGTTTTCGTACTGGTTTTGGGTACCCTGTGAAGTCCTGCCACCGTGTGCAGGACAGTGAGGATGTCCCACTACTCCTGCACATCATGGAGCAAGAGGGTTTGGCCAGCAGCCCCAGGCCGCCCCACTTCCACACCTGCTCAGCTGATCCGTCCAGTGCAGCATCCTTAAGGGCATCAGCAGCAGACAGAGCAGAGGGGCCATGTCACAGTACCACTCCCTACCCTTGCCCCTGCTTCTGCAGAAGGAGTGCAGCTCTCTGCGCATCACAGGCACAGGAAAATTGGAGCCTGGTCCGCAGGGTCCTCCAGGCTGGTTTGTACTCTCACCGAAGGAATGAGCCCAGCTCCCCACCTTGCTTGTCACTGCCACGAGGGAGTGGGGAACAGGATCATCTGGGGTGGTGCTGGGTGTAGGGGGTGCAGCACATCCCCAGGCAGAAGTGCCCTGTGGCTATCGGTGGCCAAACCCAGACCTCCAAATAACCTCTGCAGCCTGCCAGCATGCAACATGCATGTCACATGCATCTGTCCCCCTCCCAGCAGCTCCAGGCTGACAGCAGCCTTGCCCAGTCCTTGCTGGTACAACATTCATGTCCCACAGAGGCCCAGGACTGAAGACAGGGAGGGGGGTTTGTCCCTGACAGCAGCTCCTACCCATGCAGGGGCCCCAGCATCCTGCATCGGCACTGGCCACAGCGGGCAGTGACAGTGTCCTGTCACTGGGTGCAGAGTCCATTGCCTCCCCATGCAGCAGGGACCTGCTGGGCTGTCCTGGCTCCTGCACGGGACATGGGACACAGGAGAATGACTCCTGCTCATTAACTGATGAAGAGCAGCCCCCCAGGGACTGCCCCAGCTCCAAATAACCTTGGTCCTGCCCCAGCCCCGCTGCCCTGTGCAGGTGGCAGGGGTGGCTCTGCAGCTGGGAATGCTGCCCCAGGTCTCAGCCACCCCTTCCAGGGGGGCTGAGGCAGACTGTGGGGGCACCGCTGCCCATGGCATCAGCGTGCCCAATGCCAGCCCGTGTCCCTGCCAGGCAAAGCCCGCTGGCACATGGGGCCAAGTGGGATGAGAGCCTCAGGCAGGATAGGGCAGCCAGGGCTGGGTGTGCGGGAGGGGGCTG